AAAGAAGAGAGAAGTGATTTCACAAAAACAGCAAAGTGATTCCTATATATTACTTACCTTCATCACAAGAGGGTGACAGGGTTTTAATAGCAAATTGCCTTAATATCCTGAATGAAAGGTGTTACACAGAAATGTACGTTTATTGCCATGCCCTGGTAATAATCATTGATCCTAGAGGCTTATTTTAACCCTGTTGTTTAATTTAGGGTCATTATAGTCTCCTGTGCTGTGAGCTGCAATATTTAAAGCCTCATTAAGCCTATGACCTTGCAGTTAACCTGTTAGCTCACTGTTTTCTTCTCTGTGGTAGGTCTGGAAGCAAAGGATTTAAGGCCTGGAGGTGACTGTATGACTATTGCAACATGGAGCCAGCAGTACACAACCCCACCACCCTCACGAAAAGGAAAAATGCAAAGAGAGACAAGATCAGGACAGAGAGGTAGGCTGCATGTGAGCATGAGTATGTCTGTCTTGTTGCTGTTGCAAGCAGTCCTACCAATGCCCTGTTATTCACTATACTCCAGGAAAACAACCAAGAATCTGACCAGGCAGTAGAGCCACATACCTAGAAAAGATTACAGACCTGACCCTAGGCAAAATACACATTTTGGGAGGGACTTAGGGTTTAAGGCTCTTCAGAAACTTTGTGCAATGTTTGGTGACAATGCATGTGCCACCTTTTTAAATATTGATGGGTTTAATTCTCCTCACATTTAAATAGCTTACTCTTTTCCATTATGTTTTAGTCTTGTTTGCTACAGAGAACAAGTGAACAGTGACTTCCGTGTTCTTGAAATTCATCCAACTACCATCCATCACAATTGAGAGCTGTGATTTCTTAAAAGGATTGTATTACTCCCAAAATTAAAGCCAATGAAACATGGGTCTGCCAGTGCATGACAATAAGTATCATATCATCAGAGAATAACTTACAGTGTAAACAGTCCTCTGCTCTGGGCCCTTCACAAGCCTAAGCTCAACTTTGCCAGAGACAGCAGTACACAGCAATAGAAATTGCCCTAGTGAGAATGGGATCATCCTGCCCCACAGAGTAGCCTACACATAGCACAAGTCCCAGCTATATAATCAACCACCCCTCATTAAAGCTTGAGATCTTGAGGTGTCTTTGTGCATTATAACGAAATCCATTGGCTGCTCCTGTCAATTTGGGTTTGAAGCACTGATGAGTGAAAAAAAAAAGTGTGTAATAATGATCTGAATGGGAGCAATGCTTTATCTGAAGCGTTATGTGCTGTAATAAAGGGGTAAAGGAGCATCCCTTGCAACTGTGTTCATACATGTTACTTTTGGCTATTGCTCATGGCTGACTGCTTAAGGGCAAACCTTACCACTACGATGAAGCTAACAGAAATCCTTTGTAATGATATCCCAAAACCCCATGGTATTTCTAAGCTCTGCATAACTGTATAATGGCCCCTCTGGAATTCCAGGTGTGCAGGGAATAACTGCTGAGCCAAGCATGTTCATGGCTCAGAGGTACCTTTGCTACAACTGGTAGCATAAACCTAAAATTAGATAGTTTTTAATCTTAGATACAGTAGTGACAAAATTTACAATGGGTCACCAATCAACTACTACTGTGTTTTTCACATTTTCAGGTAACTTTTCTTTATGCTGCATAAGTGCCAGAGACATTTTGTAGCCTGCGAAATATTTTTGATCATGTTTTGATCCTTTGTCACGTATCATTACAAAGCTTCACCAAAATACACAGACACTGCTTTATTTAGAACCTACATAGGTGTGGAAAACAGCCACACCCTGAGGCACTACACCTCACCTTCAAGCCCTGCCAGCAGCCCTGTCAAGGCCACCAGCACACAACCAACTTGTCTTCAAGTTACAACTGCACTTCATAACCCAACAACGCTGCTCAGCTGCGTACACAGTATGATTCATGAAATTATCCACCCACAACTAACAGATAGGAGTGGGAATAGGAGCTTTTTTCATTGTTTCTCATGGTTATAAGGACTTACCTTAAACAAACATCTGTGTGGAATGATCAGCTTTGGTAAATGTAAGACATTTAAACATGCTCTGGGTAACCCTGACATGCTCTAGGTAATCCTGCTTCAGCAGGGGAGTTGGACTAGATGATCTCTATGGTCCCTTCCAACTCTAAAAATTCAGTGAAATTCAGTGAAACAGAGACAGTGTGAATTTGGGAAACTCAGAGTGCCCCTGAGCTATGACCTGTGCATCTTTTCCAGAAGAGCAAGAGGCTGAGGGGACAGAGTGCAAGATGATAAGAAAAGAGTTAACCCAGGTTTAGTAGTGCCATTATGACAGGTCATGAGGGGTCACGAGTTTCTGTTGCTAGAAGGCTTTTCTGTGACTATGCATTTGTGCATTCAGCACTGGTGCCTGTTTAAAAAAATGGCAGGCCTAGTTAAATAAGCCTCTACCAGACAGGAGGTGAAAGTGATAGAACTGGGCTAGGAAATCAGCAGTCATGGACATGTATAGGAACTGCTAAGGAACAGATGTGCACAGTTCTGGCCATCCAGAGGCACCAGTGTTACTGGTCATCCACACATGCCAGTTTCTACACAAATTTGGGTTACTTGGCCATTCATACCTTAGCATGCAACTAGCGGTGACCATCCGAGAAGGGCGACGAGCAGGAGGACAGGCCATCTCTCTGCAAAACAGAAGGGAGAAGGGGAATGAGAGCGCTGTGGCTGCGAGTCCCAGCACGTAATCCTTCATCTCTCGGTACCTGCAGTGTTAAGGACAGGCTCTGCTGTCATCCTAGGCTCTGCTGTAATGAATGTCACCAGCCATCCGTGGGACAGGAGGTGTGGGGACACCTGGCAGTCACCGGGAGTGAGCGTGGCACCGACAGGAGGTGTGGGGACACCTGGCAGTCACTGGGAGTGAGCGTGGAAAATGGCCAGCCCAGGAAATGGGGAATCAGCCTCTCCAGACAAGGAGCAAACGCGCTCCCTCTCAGGGACCCGCAGAAGCACTCTGTACATGAGGACGTTTACTCTAACAGGAGGTGGCAATTTGGAATAACATACAACTGGAATACAAGGTTGGTGTATAGTATGTTTATGAAAATTAACCAACTTTACACTTCTGGTCACTAGCCAAACCCATCATGCACTGAAAAAACCACCTTATTCTGTTGTATTTATGTCAAAAGGATATTGCTGTCTTCTCTAATCGAAGCAAGCAATGAAACATTTGGCTCCTGCTGGCACCTTTAATCTTAAAAAGCACTTATTAGTGTAATACCTAAATCTTGTAGACGACAGCTTAAGAGCATGATATGGGGAAGAATAACTAACAGTTAAATAACTAACTTTTGATAGAGTAGTAGGTCAGTAGGTTAATCTGTTAATTCATATGTCTCAAAACAATAGGAACGTTGGGTAAGATGCGGAACGAGAGATAGGAACTATGAGCCAAGACCAGCTCAAAACCGCCTGAAACCAGTCCTGCAGTTTGGATAAGTCCCTATGAAGATCTGGGTCAGTGAGAACAAAAAAAGGTAACTAGCGGTGAGGAAGAGGAGTCTCCTTACTTCATCATTGAAACCCCCGGCGACCACCACCAGGAGGCACTGCGCAGGCGCAGAGGGGCGGAGAATATGGAAATAGGTTCGAGAGACTAATTTTAATATGAAGCGGGACGGGACATATGTATAGGAGTCTTGCAGCATATATTAAATATGTATAAGTTAGTAGCATAAATATGGAGATTTTGGGTTTCGAGGGCGCGCACAATTTGGTGGGACTACCCCGCTGTGCTGCCCGGCGCTGAATAAACATACCTACTTTACAACTTGTGAGTTCCGCACGTCAGGCACACCTGACACACAAGGTCCTTGAGGATTCAGCAGCCAACAAGGCAGGCTTTTTTTAAAAAAAAACCAAATTCCACAAATTATGACTGAAAAGTGGACGACACCTCTGTGCCCCGGGGATAGGAGTTGTGGAGTCCCTTTCCGCACGTCAGGCACGCCTGACACACAAGGTCCTTGAAGATTCAGCAGCCAACAAGGCAGGCTTTTTTTAAAAAAAAACCAAATTCCACAAATTATGACTGAAAAGTGGACGACACCTCTGTGCCCCGGGGATCAAGAGCCTTGAGTAACCCGCTCCCCTCAGGGATGGCCTCAGGGCACTGTGGAAGGCCTGAAGCGCCACAACGGCCCTGGCTCCGGAGAGCCGGGAGAGGGGTTCACGCTAATGGCTCCTTCTCCCGCCGGTGCCCGGCCTCCTCCACCGCCTCGAACTCCTCAGCGAGCAGCAGGACCCAGCAGCCCAGCCACCCCGTCCCGCCTCCTTGAGGAGGATTCGAGGCCGCGCCCGCCCTCAAGATGGCGGCCCGCCTCCCGTCGGGCTCTGAAGCCGGGGGCTGCTGGTTAAGATGGCGTCTGTTTCCCTGCGGCCTCTGCGGAGCTTGCCCTCAGCCAACATGGCTGCCGCTCCCTTAATTGCTTCCGACGGCGGTGAAGCCGGTTTGCCCTTACTCAAGATGGCGGCCCCCAGGGAGCGGCGGCGGCGGCCTGAGGGCTGTGGTGAGGAAACGGTGCGCGGAGCTGGGCTGGCGGCGGAAAGCCGGGAGGGGAGAGGCGAGGGGAGGCGGCGTGTGCCGCCGGGTTGGGGAGAAGGCTCCCGGTATCGCCGCCGCTTAGGCAGCCGGCCGTGAAATGGCGGGTCGGGCCCGGCCCGGGCGCTGAGGGCTCGGCGGAGGTTCGGGCGGGCTGTGGGGCCGGTGGGGCGGCCGCAAGGAGGGAGGGAGGGAGCCCGCAGGCGGCGGGACTCCGGCCGGGAGCGGCTTTTCCTCCGGGAAACGCGGCGTGGCCGAGCCGCGGGGTGGCTCTGGCGGCCCTCGGGTCCCGGAGAGCCGCTGGTGCCTCTGCGGGAACCGGCGTTCGTGGGGGGTGAGGATTCCCGCCGGTGCCGTGAATTTGGTTGCGAGCGGCCCCTTAAGATTTTTTTTCTGTGGAAAAGGCGAAATAATTGGCTTGTGTCTTCTTCCCTCCGCGGTAGAACCAGCTAGTTCTGTGTTCAAAATACACAGGGAGTGTTTCTGCTGAAGGGTTTGAAGACGCTCAAGCGTTTGGCACAACAAAAAAACTGAAAATGGAGGGTGAAGGCCCTCACCAGTGATTAACTCTGCAGTGTTAATTGTGTGTGTGTAACAACGCAGCGTGTGGAGCCTGCACGGGGCTATATGTCAGCTGCTGTTGGAATCCAGGCACAAAGTTGTTGCTGCCTGCTCTTTGTCTTCTGCCAGCGTCCCGAAGTGCTAATTCGGCATGTGTGTCACAGCCCTAAGAAGGGAAGAAACTACTGCCTTAAGTTGTCCTCCCAAATGGCAGAAGTTGCTTATACTGGTGACGATCCGACTTTCTTCTCTTGACAGGTGCACCCTGATGGTAAACAGCACCTGTGTTCCACGTGGGAGTGAATGTACAGGTTGAATAATCAGCTCTTCTCTCCAGAACTCACGTTTTTTGCCCATACTTCTGATCCGACGCTTAGCAGGAGGGACTTCTGAGAGCTTCTCAGGACTTTTCTCACCACGTAAACGGAGGCCGTAGTTGTCGCTGCTGTTATGTCCTGGCTACAAGTTGCCGTCGGCCGATCCAGTGAGGATATATTTGATGAAGATGCTGATGAGATGTATGTGCTACGGAAAGAATGGAACAGCACCATGAAAAGAAGACTGAAGGTATTTCTGTAACAATGATTTCATCGTCTGTTTAACCCTCTTTGATTTACCGACACGTACCTTGATATACGTACGGCTGATTTAAAGGGAAAACTTAGGGTGGCTGCCTAAAAGTTATTGTGGCTTAGTTTTTTCTGAATGCCAGGAAAATGTAGCAGGGATTCACATAAACTCCATTCTAGTAGTTGTCAGAGCAAAGTACTGTTTTACCAAAAGGCATTGGCTTTCTCTGTACAACCGTGTGTATTTGTAAAAGGCAGTGCTATTTGCTTCATTCTTGGAATTATACCGCTGGAAAAGGTAAGGCAGCACAGCTAAACAGTGCTGAGAAAGAAATATGTTTGGGTCTTTAAAGTAGAGCTCTTCACCCGTCATATTTAAGACATGTGACACCATGTTGGAACCACAATTGGATGTTGCGGGTCTGGGTAGTTCTTTGGCTTATTTATTCTCCTAGTGAAAAATACATTTTAGGAAAGCCAAGCCCTACGTTTTCTGCAGCCCTTCCCTCCCTGGAATTCTACAGGGAACGAAGCAAGTATGTAAACTCATGTTATTTCAACAGACATGTTATCATTCCGAACGGGGCCAGTAGGACCCGTCTGCTTATGGGTGAACAGCCTTTGGCTGAAGAACATGAATGGAAGCTGTTGTGTAGGCTGTTGATGGGGAAGGGTTTTACAAGAGAGCTGTTGTATTATTCTCCAAGGAAAAGTTTCTTGCATCTGAGTCTCTTTTAAAAGTCTGGTTTTCTTATGGGGCTGTTTAGTGTTCTTACACAAATCCCTCTGGTACTTTATGAGTCCATACTGCAAAATCATAAAATGTTATTGAGCTGTACGTTGGGCAAAATAAAGAAACACTCTTGTTCCTGGCTACTTCTCTAGTAAGGCCACCAGTTTTCCTCTCCGTGAGCAAATAGAAGTTTTCACTCTTACAACTTGCAATTTTGGTGTTAAAAAAAGTTAAGAATTACATACTAATATGATTGGAATAGAAGGAAGTTCATTTTCATTACATTCACTAGCTGTTTCTTGCAGAAAGCAATCCCAATGTTATGTGTGTATGTGACTCACTTCCTATCACCGTCTTTTTTCCCTTGTAGCTCTTGAATTGAGTGAGATCCAGCAAATAGAGTAGCAAGGCTCAATAATTAGTTTTGTGGAAACAGGTACATGGATTATGGATAGGAAAGTATTTCTGCTAAAGGAATTGTTTTGCAGCCTCCCTATTTTTGAATGTCTAGAAAACTCTATGACGTTGTCCTTACAGGAATTTTTCACGTGGGACTTGGTCATCACAGAAGCAAGCATGCTTTTCTGCAGATAAATTTTTTTTGATGTTTCTAAAAATACTTTTGTCACTTTCTGGCCTTTCTGTGGATCCTTTTGGAAAAGAACTGGATCTTACAAGTCAGTAAATCATAAAGCCTTGCAAAAAAGCATGTTTTGGTTGGGCAGTAGGGGCGTAACTGGGAGGATATCCAAACCTAGGAGCTGTAATTTAAGAGACTGAATACTTGTCCAAACTTTTTTATTATGAAATTGTTATCGGTCAGATTTTTCACATTGTGAACAACCTGTTGCACCACTCCTATTTTAGGAAGGCTACAGGGATGGAATTGAGGCTGGGAAAGAACTTGCACTCCAGGAAGGCTTCAATCAAGGTTATAGACACGGTGCTGAGCTGATGGTGACTTGTGGCCAGTTCAGAGGAACCCTGAAGTAAGTTACAAACTTTTTAAGGTTGTATGTCTGTGGAGGGTGTGCATGGAGGGAGTGTGCATGCAGGTTGTGGTGTGTTTTAATTAAAAAAAAAAAAAAACAAACACCCAAAAAGGTGCATTGTGAACCTGTCCAAAGTGAGCAACCTGAGAATTTTCAGGTCTTGAATACAGGGAAGTATCGTGGGTGGAGAGGGATCATTCTCAGAAATCGTCCTTCAGTTGCTCTTGGAAAATCATTTGAATCTACATCTTTAAGCTTAATATTCCGATCTACTGCTTTAATTTCCCAGAAATTGTGAATGAAACCTATATAGATTTATATGGTATAGACATCTTGTCATGTTGCTGTCTCCCTTCAGCCACTGGAAGTCTGTGTGGATACATGTAATTGCTTTTTTGTTTTTCTTTCTCCCCTTTTCAGTGCTCTCTTATCCTGGTGTCACCTTAATGGACATGATTCTGCCTTAAGTGAGATAAATAATCTTCTCGATGTGATTGGAAAGCATGAAGAAGATGTGCTTGAGTATCTGAATTCTATTGAACAACAGCCACACCTTGGACAAATTTTAGATTCTGTTGAGGACATGGACCTTAATCACACAGCTCCTGCTGGGACAGAGCAGGAGGAAGTTAAAGCTGGAAGACACAAAGACGTTGGCAGCTTTGGTGAAAACATTTGTCGAAATAATGGTGAGGTTGGTTCCTTGCAGTGCAGCAAGGCAAAACTCTGCACGGATCCTGAAAGGTCAACCCTTGCTTGGGTTAAAAAGCAGACTATTTGGCTAGTGGAGCAACTGGGCTTATCACTGGATATACTCCATCACGTCCAGCAACTAGAACCTTAGTTTTTCTGTCTCGTGGTATTTAAAATTACCTCAAGAGGATTCGATTCTTGGTTTGTGGACCATGTACAGGCTGAAGCATCAATTATTTTTAGGGAAATCTGATTTTGGTACTTCCCAGTAGAGGTAATTTCTGTAAATCTTCACCATGCTTTGGCTCCTGGCGACCCCCCATCTTGCTTTCAATCTTAAACATAACTTCCACAGAAAGGGGAAATTACTTTAAAAACTCCACAAAGATTTACTAAACATTTTTCTGTCTGTGTCAGAAGCTAGCATTTCACCCTCGCTTTCTCTCTGGCAGCAGTTTGGAAAGCAAGTCCCTTAAATAGCTTCTAAATAGGTCCCCTCTAATATCTGAAAAAAATAAATGCCCAGTGCTAGGGAGAAGCTGTTCTTGCAGAAAAAGCCACTGTTGATGATGTGCTAACTCTATGCAAAATAGAACAGGATTTGCTGCTGATGTCTAGAGTGCTGTGACACTCTAGTTGCTGTATAAAATATAGGAATTTTTCACCTTTTGTCAAATTCTTCCTCTTTTGTAACCACTATGCAGCACCTTTTCAGAGTTAAAAACTATTTTTTTTTCCTTGTACAGTTGTATTTATTTCCCTTAGGCTGACCACACACTATTATCTTCAAATGTGGAATTACTGACAATTCCATTGTTTTACTGTCCGACCATGTGCTCTTAGCCTGTTAGACCACACTGAACATATTTCCAGGCTGATGAACCTTGGTTAGTTTTGTATTTATTTTGCCGGTCCCTCTAGCCTGAACTCTTTCCCTCATTCCCATAGTTTTTTTTTCCCCCAAAAAATCTTCAAGGAAGCCAGGCCTATTCCCCTTCTCTTAAAAGCACGTTGTTAGCCACACGTGTGTATTTCTGACAACTTGGTATATTGTATTTGACTCCTTTTCCTGTTGCTTGCCTTACCTGTAGCTGCAAATTGCTCTGGTCAGGAAGTCTTTTTCTTTGTGAATGCCTGTCTCTGTTTTGCACCAATTAAACTGACTTGCAGTATGTTAGGAGTTTACTTGTTTAAGTTGCTTGTGGCTTTCCTTAGTGTCTGAGACAAAGCAGGTCTAGACAGAGACAAACTGAAATTTTGATCAGCTGACTTAACTATACTTTACAACTGTTTTGTGATTTATTTTTTTTTAGACTTTGAGGCCAGAAAAAAAAAAAGGCACCAATTAAACTGACTTACAGTATGTTAGGAGTTTACTTGTTTTAAGTTGCTTGTGGCTTTCCTTCGTGTCTGAGACAAAGCAGGTCTAGACAGAGACAAACTGAAATTTTGATCAGCTGACTTAACTATACTTTAAAAAAAAAAATCACGGAACAGTTGTAGACTTTGAGGCTAGAAAAAAAAACTAAGGTAAAAATTACTTGATTTTCAGAGGCAGAGTTTACAACTTTCTTAGTAAAGGCTCTATTATCCTGCCACGGAGTTGATAGACTGTAAGTTTGGCTGCAATTCAGCCCCACCTCTGCTTTGGGGGAAAACAGAACTGCAATTAAGAGTCCTTTATTGAACTTGTTTTTGAAGTAGTGGACAAAGAGGGCTGTCTGCATTAATTAAGTATGTTAAAAAATTGTTCATACAAATTTCTTTTTTTTTTTCATTTTATTTAGCATAATGCTGACATGGATAAACATTACTTTTCTACAAGTGCATGTGTTACGTTATACCTCTATCACATTAGACAAACTTCTTTCATACTGTGGTAGAATGTGGTGCAGACAAAAATAAAGGTCACTAGAGCAGAGTTAGACTTCCCAAATTTGGCAGTTTAAAAATGCAGAGTCAAGGGTATTACTTCTATGTATTTAATAGTGTGCAAAAAGGAAACTCCATTCACAAATTACTAAGTAGACAGTGAGCTTGCCAAGTTCTCTCCAGCTACTTCTGCAAAAGCAATCTACGCCAGGGAAAATACTTCTTTCTTGTTTGATTATGAAACAATAGACTGTGTATTTTACTTATCTGTCATAACAGCTTCTGTACTAGCCGTGGAATTACTTTCCTCCGCTCTGCACAAAGCTTCTGTGCTTACTGTGGGGTTACTTTTTTCCACGTTATCACCCAGAGTTTCCAGTTTGGCTGCAGAGAGATTTTCTTTTGGGCTGTCTGTAATACTTGGCGTATCTGTCACTACAGAATCTTGCTGACCAGCCACAGAAAGGCTTTCTTCAAGACCATTAGAATCTGTAATGGGCTCAAACGACGATTCAGGTTTTTGTTTCGTATCTGCTTCCGTGTCTTGCGTTTCACTATCAGCTTTCACCTTGGCAGCGTTCCTCAAAATAGCTCTCATGACAACTGGGACTGACATGCAACTGAAGGAGGAAGTGAAACGTTAGTCACTACTACAGACTTCATCCATTCTTAAACTTCTTTTTTTTAAAAAACAGTGGATGACACCTGAATGACAGGTCTGGTGAAAACCAGCCCTGACTCCTTGCAGCTTTCTGCCTTGTACAAGCTAATAGATGTTACCTTGTAACTACAGTATGACTGCAACCTGTGCTATGCCAGAAACATACATTGACACAATGAAATCAAGTGCTGGATCTAAGATTTAATGGTGCAAAGCAGCTTTGATAGAAGAGTGGGAGGGTTTGATAAAAAAGAATAAAAAAATCATAAGGGTCCTTTAAATGAAAAGCTAAACTAATAACATTGAAACATATTCATTTGTGCCAAGTTTTTATAATTGTAACTTTCATGTTTTGTATAAGACAGGTACGGAGCTTGTCTTCTCTAAAACACTGTCTACACTAGAGGAGGGTTTTTTCCACTCTAACAATAGAATTACCTGGTTCCAGGAATAGTATCCTGTGACTTCAGACAGGTCAGGCTAAATAACAAGGTTCAGTATCCAGCCTGCACTGATCTTGCTGTCATCAAATAGATATACTAGCTTATGCCAAAAGAATTTGTTGTCTGAGTCCTTTCTCTAGCACATGTCCAAATACCACAGCAACTTGCCTCTCCTGGCGTTTGTTTCAGAAAACAAGCCAGAGAGTGTTGTAGTCGTGCCTTATGCACCTCACTTTTTGAAAAGAAGCACTGATTGGTATTAGGTAGATGTAGAAAAAGTGTTTTCTGTGCTGTTGTAAGTTATACCAGGCAGGAGACTGTCATCAAGTAGAGTCTTCAGAAAAGCACGTTTACAAAAGAAAAAAGCATCTTATAAAAGGTATGCTTTCTATTAGAAAGAAACACTTTCTATCACTATTAATGTTTAAAATTTTGGAAAGACATACTTAAGACACTAATGTAACTTATTGTCACTATTAGAACTTTTTGCTAGAGTGAAGTTTTCTGGTCGCTGAGTTTATGGTGTTGTGAATGCACATGATATTTCCATTGAATGGACACCTGGGGTTCATTCCAACTGCTAGAAAATAAAATGAAACTACTTACCGCTTCACAGCTCTTGTTATAAAGTCATCACTGGAATTTAGAGTTGGATCTTGCGGATTTAAATGAAGGTGACATTGGACTTCTCTGGAGGTTATAACATCAATTGTCACTAAGAAAGAGGAGAGTATAAGTATTTTAAAATAAACGTTTTCATAAACATTAAAAACCATCCTTTCATTTTGATGCTTCAAGAGAGGTAAGACTGAAGTTTATGGGGAGGGGCTTGCAGCAATGCTCTTGCATAAAACTTGCTTTTTCCTAATCTACTGAAATCAGAAATAGTAGAAGTCACATTTTATTAATTAAATACAGGCCAAGACAAAATAGGACTTGAATATTTGCATTTACTTTCTGTTTTATGCTGAATACGGAACACTTTTTAGTAAGCAATTTATACCCAAGTGCTACTTTGTGGTTTTCATGGGTTGCACACCACTGAGGATAGCCCTTGGAAGGTATTTGTAACAGGGAAGGGTAGTGCAAGAGCCCAGACAGAACCAGGCCCCTTGTCAGCCCAATAAAAAGAACATTATCGATTATTTCACACATACCACAGGCTAAATTCTCTTTCACAGGATGAAGGAAAAAGACAGAAAAGCTGGTGTTCTTGTGTGGTACCACTTCAAAGTAAAGCAGTTCTGAATCATCATCTAGAAATAAAATTACTATTTAGTGATAACCACCCATTGAACCTGGATTCTCTTTGGCTGAATCACATGCTAGAATTTAAAAAATACCGATACAGTAGAATCTAATTATTTATCACTTTGGCAACTTAGTTTATGCTTATAGAAGAGTCAGGCCTAGGAGATTTTTAAAAAAAAATATCCAGTGTAATAATAGAATTAAGGTTTTTTTATAATTTAAAATACTCCACAAGTAATGACAGCTTTGGCGAGGGAGCAGTAAATCTGTTAACACCCAGTTTAGAAGCTGGTTTCTCTCTCATACTCTGTGCTGCTTCCAACCACACGATTTACCTTCATTTATGTGCTTCTCAGAGACACAGCTGCTAATCAGGTTGTTATACGCCACTTGATGTCGAAGAATCTCTATGACGCCCGGCACGCACTCTGGATGGCTAAATGGGATTTTACTGACCAAGGCTCCCGCTAAATCTGATTTTTCTGAGCCTTTGTTTATGAAGTAACAGTGCTTTGGGCAATCTGGAAGAGACTGAACAACAAATACGGTGATATTTCAAGCACTGAAAACGAGAAAGTAAAGCTTGATGTTATCAGGCAACTCACAATCTGGCAGCAAAAATAATTTTGGAAGACACGCTTCTAGCATGTCCATCATGTCTCTCTCCATTTCGGTAGAAACTTAATCCTTAGAGGAAGATAAAAGAGACCCACTCTTCTTCCCAAATGCATCCAAATTACGCCACCAATTCTTCCAAATACTCTTAAGACCCCTGTGGGTTATAGAAATGGAAAGAACCACAGTCTTCTCTCAGAAGAACATCATAGTAGTGCTGATGGACAGTCGTACAGGTAGGATAACAGTTTTGCCTGAAATCTCTTCTGGGCATCACACATTGTTTCTCCGTCCATCACTATTGCTTTCTTTGGAGAGGCTTGTTTGGTTAGAACCAAACCAAGGAGCAGAACAGGAGATAGTAAGAAAAAATTGCCACCTGTCCATGTTGACAGTGTTTCTATGACAAAATTAGAAATGCAATATTGTGTTATCTACTTCAGGATGCCGAAGGGGAACTGTCACCTTAAGAACAGGGCAGGGCACTTAATTAGCAGGGTCCATATTAGGAACAGCTGAAGAGCACAATAAAAGGGCTTTTCCTTGCGTGTTCAAGGAGTAAAAGGGTTTCCCCTATGTTCCTTTCAAAGTTAGAATTCAGTTTAGTAATTTACTTGTAGAAATGAAATCTTTCAACTCAGAGACAAAACAACCTCCCAGCAAGTACTAATTACTGAAGTTACAGAGCTTTTTGTGTATATTTAATGGAAATGAAAATTTTGTCCCATCTTATGGGTTTTATAGAGGAGAGCTTTGCTAAAGCTTATTTTAGAGTGGTGTAAATTTACTACTACCTTCTGTACCACCACCTCAAAGTCCAAGAACTATGTTGGCAATGGGCTCTGCTAACATCATTGCTAGTAGAAGAGAAAGAAGTGCCCTCTTTTTTTTGTGGCCATGAATTGCAAAATTAGTGTTTGCTATCCAAAAAAAAAGTAGATCTTTGAAGCTTGCCTTGTAGTTGCTCTGCATTTAAGTCTGGCAGAAGGCATCGCAAAATTAGTGTTTGCTATCCAAAAAAAAAAATAGATCTTTGAAGCTTGTCTTGTAGCTGCTCTGCATTTAAGTCTGGCAGAAAGCATTTCAGCCACCATTTTCTATTCTAAAACTTTTCTTCTACATCTAATGCAGCCTCAATTAAATTTTTTTTAATGAAACAGTAATTAAAAGGGAAGCTGTCTATGGTTAAGCAACCATGGGTTTAAAGAGTAATTGCTATCACCTTGCACTTTTCTTCCTTCTGCTCCCTTTAAAGGGAATCAGTATTGAATCAGTCACAATAGGCAGCGTGACATGCAGCATGATAAAGACCTTCAAAAATCTAGGTAAGTACCATCTTGGGATTTGCTCCTTACATCAGTCAATAAGTTTCCTTCTTTTTAAGTTATTAATGATGAAAATTTGACCAATTTTTAGAAGAGTTAATATTTGGGTTACATATAGACAAATTAGTATGACTTCAGCAGTCATGCACACAGTGTTTAATGAGGATGAGACGCTCACTTACTTGAAAGGTTCTAATATTGTTTCATAAATAACTTGAACTATTTCTTAAAGAGCATTTAAATATTGTTGAGATGCTGGGAAGTCTGTATTGCTTGCTTGTAGGGAAATATAATTCAGTGTATATCTTGCATAAGGCTAGAGTGTGTGTGTCAAATGCACACTATACTCACCACAAAGAAACAGGATTTATGTGTAGAAAAGTCTTCACTGCATTTTTCTTTCAGGGTAGACTGAACAATCAGCTCATACAGAGGGGCTAGTTTCAAGCCAGTAATCTGAATTCCTGAAACCAGATGATATTTTTTATTGGAACTTAGGTTATGACTGGACATGAAAGCTAATATTAGAACCAAAACCAATGTTTTCAACAGAAAAAAAAAATTAATCTCCTTTCTTACTCCCTTTTTTTTTGCTAACGGGAATTTGAGGTAGAGGGTTTAACAGCTTTGCCTGCAATTGTCCTGTTTTTCGTAGAACTTTTGTGGTTTGCACTGGTTGCTAAAATGTTACACGGGCTGATAGAACAAAACACATTCTGCCCCAGAAACCAGTTTTTTCCCCTGCAACATTAACACGGGGAAATAAAAAGTAAATAAGCAATGCGTGGTCACAGAAGTTTCTTAGTCTGAAAAACAATTGTAACACACCTGTGAGCCTCTGTATCTCTTCAATACTGGATGAGGACATAGGAATAGGCTGGTGAAACTTCAACACAAAAAAGGCTGGCAAATCCATGCTGAGTTCATCAGTCAGTGGCAAAAAAGCAGGGTGGCTAGGAAAGAAAAAAAAAAAACATAGAATGAAAGCTTGTTACAGAAATTGACCTAACAAGGACTCTTAGAGGACGGTCACTCTCAGGTCCCTAGCGGTTTACTACCTTCCATACTACTTCTGTTTTGAAAAAGTATTGCCTTATATTATAAACACAACCATAGCCTTTAATGTTTTAAAACAAGGTTAATGTTAAGACTGGCAGAAAGGCAAAGTGAGTCACCAGAAAGTGAGGAACTTATAAGGATGTTTGCTTTGTGATTTATTTTGGAGAATGACTTCAGACTTTCCCTCCAGCCTTGCACTGAAGTAGAGAGAGGTGGTGTCAGTATCCATGGTGGGATGACAAGCTGTTTGGTATAGTTAAGGTGTAATATCCCCCTCAATATATGCTCTATTTATTCTGAAACTACACAGGACTTGCTTGTTGAATACTAGGAGGTTAAGTAATATTGTTCCAGTGGCTCCTTCTGGCTTCAAATCTGCAAATAAATACATAGTTCAATACAACTGACACAGTTAGATATGAACACAGTAACTTTAAAGTCCATTTGGGAAAACTTAAAAGCCACAGGTTTTAGAGGGTGTAGCTACAGAGGTTCCTGTTTTAGCAGAGGCTAAATGCATGTTATCCTGAGGTTAGTGCCAATGATTTGTAAATGCATTTCTGTATTGAGAAGTGTCCAGAGCCTCACCCGTCCTCTCCAGCTTGAGACTCTACAAGCAGCGGAGAAAGAGGAAGTTTGTGGACTGTATCTGTGCCTTCAACAGTCACAACTGCTTTTGTTCCACATACCTGGGAACCTGAGGGAGGAAGAGAACTGCATTATTTCTCTCCTGTCAGTGTAGATTAATCTTATGCATACAAAACACACAATGGTGAGGCAAAGATCAGGTCCAGCTGACAACCACAATGGCTTGGGCAGTGAGGAGAACCTGGCACAGGCCACATCCAAATGGCCAAAGTTGCCCAATTTTGGGACGTGCCATGAAGCAGATCGAGCAACTACATCATTTTCCTGTTGGCTAGGCAGTTATTTTGTTTGATATCACTCTCACTTCAGTTTGGGTCAACAGCCAAGAAATGGGAAAGTAGTTTCCTGATGTATGGTTAAAGTGCATCACATAAATCATTCTCCTAAACTAGAATTTTAAATCTTATTTCTGTGTTTCAACAATGAATTTTGCTTAACAAAATAGGTAGTCCTGAAAAAGTTATGACATTAGTTATTTCTGTTTTTCTAGGTTTACCGGGATTTAGTTCTGCTTCCAAAACTTGATAGGGAGAAATGTAAAATTCAATGTTCATAGGAGTGCCTGAGGAATAAAAAAAAAAGTTACTATACATGTCAATAGAGGAAACATTAGGGGAAACAAAGGGGGGAAAAAACCAAGAGCAGTGTAAATGGGCAAAAGGGGATTCCTCTAGAGGAAACATTAGGGGAAACAAAGGGGGGGAAAAACCAAAAGCAGTGTAAATGGGCATTCCTTATAAGAGTATATCTCTAATTACAGTATATGTTCATATCACAGCATTTTCTTAGAATTTGACAGCTAAACCCTCAGTGTATAAAGTTATCAGATGTCTTGGAAAGATTAGATTAAGTTACTTGCTTTTGCACAATAGCTAAACCCTCAGTGTATAAAGTTATCAGACATCTTTGAAAAGATTAGATTAAGTTACTCTCTTTTGCACAACGACCTGTTATTCAGCTTTAAAAATAGTAGCTGAACTGCTTGCTTTCAGTGACTAGTCTGAAATAGAAGGGAAAGTCGTAATACTTTCAGAAGGAACACTCATATCAAGCTGTGCACAGGGATAGCAGCAGCATGTATTAGAAGTGCTTTTATGAACTCTAGCACATTAATGGTTAAAGCTCACTTCTAACAGTGTACGTCAGCCAAAATACTAAGCAACTGACTCTATTTGCCTTTCAGTATTATCTCAGCTACTACCGCTGTCATCTCACAGTCACTCCCAAACTGTGGTTTCCCACATAACCTCAGAATATCGCTGGCTTTGCTTTTAGGCTGCTGCAAAGTCAATGTTGCTGTAGCTGGTAAACAACCTGACCCCCTTTTATTTTCTCCTTCCCTATGTCTGTACACTGTCTGAGAATACAGACACAATAGGTCCCTACAGCATGTTTTGTTTATACTACAGTCATAGAATCATAGAACGGTTGGAGTTGGAAGGGACCTTAAAGATCATCCAGTTCCCAACCCCCTGCCCTGGGCAGGGACACCTCCCACCAGACCAGGTTGCTCCAAGCCCCATCCAGCCTGGCCTTGAACCCCTCCAGGGATGGGGCAGCCACAGCTTCTCTGGGCAACCTGTTCCAGTGTCTCACCACCCTCACAGCAAAGAATTTCTTCCTAGTATCTAAGCTAAATCTACCTTCTTTCAGTTTAAAACTATTACCCTTCATCCTGCCACCACACTCCCTGATAAAGAGGATAATAGAGGATCTTAACTGTAAACAAAAGTCAACTCAGTAGGGTTTTTTATTACAATTCTTGGAATCCATGAAGTAAAAAAAAAAAAGAAAAAAAACCAAAATCACCTCCAGTTCTTGGCACAAGGTGTCCTACTTTTCCATGAAGTACTTCAGTAACTCTGTTTACATCCTGTGTTCTAGTTCAAAACACATCTTGATTAGTGTTTCCTGAGTTGCAGTGCCAGGCAGGCTAATGTAAAGGATAATTTGCACCCTTAATCAAAGGGAGACAATGCTTTCTTGGAAGTAGATTGTGTCTCCATTTGTTATGACAGCTTCCAAAACACCATCATTCCACTCACGCATTACTCTTAGGACTCGGGCTTCCAGTTTCAACCCTGTATCTGAGCTGTTTCATGCTGCAATTTGGCATGTTATTTACCAGAAATTAAAGGGGACAAATACATTGGGGTGGCAGGTTAAGCAAAGAGTAAGGAAATAACCTGGAAAAACTAAACCAAAACCAATCTCTAACCTCAAACGTGATCGTACAGCCAAACATACAATTACATATCTGTGTATTAAAATACTGCAGGGCATTAACTTAGATGATAGATGGGATGAATAATCTATTTAACTCATAAATAATATTTAGTGAGATATCAGTGATTAGCAAGGTTATAGTGCATTTGTTCATGGAGTTAGTATGCTTCATAAGGGAACACTACAAAAATAAGCCAAGAGTGTGGTTCTAGTTACAGAAGGCCATGCTTCCTGAGAGAATTCAATAGGCAAGATATCAGAAAAAATGCTTCAAAAATCCTGAAGAAAAGCACTGACCTCAACTCTGATTCTCTGAAAAGAATGAAAACCATTGTACAATTAACAAAGGGTTTAGGAAAAATCTGTTCCCCACCTATCTGTAATCCTACTCTTTGGAAGGAGATATGAGAAAAGGAAAGATAGGAGGAAAACCAGCATCTGCCACTCCTGATCTAAAACCTGGGCACCGAATGAGACAGCCAAACAGCAGGACCACAAAGGGAGATCTATACACAGCTGCTGACTTTCAGATGCACTGTTTGCTCCTAGTGGGTGCTCACACACCCCCAAGCTCTACAACCAACCAGTTTCCCAGCAAGTCTCTTAGATAAAGCTCAGGAGTTCAGTAGATCATCTTGTTTGGCACGCCTGGGGTTGGCAAACTACTGAAAGGCTTCAAGGTTTCCAGTGGGAGAAAACTCATTAGCCTTCCACATCCTGCCCTATAATTAGATCAGTTAACTTGTTTTTTCAGTGAAATGAAGGGGTGGGGGTGGAGGGAAAGGGAGAAAGAGGTAGACTTCAAGTTACCTGTCTAGAAGAGACATTGAATAAAGATCCTTTTCAAGGGCCTGCAAAGCAAAGTATCCCTTAGCTTTCATTTCACTGGGAGAGAGAGAAGACAAATTATTATTTTTGTAGGTAAACAAAAGCTAGACTGTGGATTTTAGACGTTTTTCAAGCAAAAACTAGCTGCAACCTGTTTCCTGGAATTTGATACATATTTGACAGGTCTTCTAGGATCGTTCCAAAGGCTTCATAGTTCTTCATCCTACCAAAAAGAAACAATTGCTATCATGCTGCTAAATGAGATGGATAATAAGTCTTTTATATCTAACTTGCAAAAAAAAAAACCAAAACCCAAAAAACATCATTTCAGAGTGACATAGGCCTCTTCCTTATCAGATCTGGCAAGTAGTAACACTGCTTTTAGATTTTCTTAGCAGATACCAGGAAATGTGAATCCTTGGCTCTGTTGCAAAAAACCAATGTAATTATAGCTAACACTGGTTAAATATGCACTACTGAAAGCAATAGATGTGCACGATACACAAATCTGACAGCTCATCAGCTGCAAAGCACTTCTGATGATGTTCCAATAAAGTTAGTCATGTAGTAACACTTCCCTGATACAGTGCACGCATACATTGTTCTTTTCATCAAAATATCAAGGATTGCATTAATATTGCACATTGTGAGAGAGACAGATCTTAAATACAATCGATAGACACATCAATCCGAAAAAAAAAGAACAGGGGACAAGTGGCTTGCGTAAGTTTGTGAGGGAACCCACAATTCCTGCAGATTCTGACTAGCTGTGCTAGCCTGGAGCTCTGCTTGGACTAACCCATCAGGTATTTCTTCACCTGCTTAAGTGGATTTTAAGTGGATTTTACAAGCCTCACTAAACTCTCTAGTGCTGTAGTCCCACAGAGAGCTATACTCCAGAAGACATACCTTCCCTGTCCATGCAGATGTGGATCAGCAGAGAGACCTAATAAACCTGCCTGGAATTTCACATTGGGACAAATCCTTTCCAAACAGAAACCAAAACAGGTCACTCAGCTCTTCCATGACTCTTTCCAACTGGACTAGTGAGGAAGCAGGGAAAAGGGGGGGAAACAGGCATGCAGGTACAGGCACAGACACAGCACCAGCCTATGCATTGGCTGGCTGGCTCATCATAATTTTATAATTTCTATGAGACTCACAGGAAGCATTACATATATAACAAACTGCCTTTACAACTAAAAAAAATAATAAAATAATACCTCACCAAGACATGTAGAAGGCATACTTGCACTTTGTGCCAAACTTAACAAAAAACAGTAAGGCAGAAAAGCAGTACCGGAGTGCCAGTAGTAACTATGCCATTGCTCAGAGCCAAATCACTGGCAACTAACATCACAAGGAGTCAAAATACCTTGGAAAATGCAAGTTAAAGCTTTATAAAGCTGATATAACTTCCTTTCTAAGGAAAGAGAGGGCTGGGAAAACTGATGATGGATTATAGGTCCACATAGAAGAGAGATGAAACATGCAAGGTCAATGATTATTCTTTCTCTCGTTACTTTCCCTTTCAACTGTTCTGTCAAGGTATTTAAGTAAGAATGCAATTCCTTTAAATGAACTCACTATTAGTAAAACCTGGAACCTCGATCATATTGGCTGGAGAATTTCTAAATAGACTTTTAAGGTGGTGGCCTGACCTGGAACAGCAACTATTCAGACAGAACAAAATGTAATAAAATATATAAAAAAAAATATATATATATAGTGCTCTGCTGGTACATGAGAAAATTAAAGTAATATCTCCTCCTATGCATTTGCAAAGAAAAAAGCACCATGTGATATCACCTTGCTTTCATTGCTGTGACATAAGCCTGAAGGACATGCAGTTAAGATATTTTACATAGGGACAACACAGATTATTTAGTATTTGATGGAAGGAGAAGGGGAAAAGTAATATCTAGTTTGGATCTGTAAATCTGCAGTTCTGAATTGTCATCACCAGTCTATTTCCCAAATGATGGGTCCAAGTAGTTCTATAATTCTTGTGATCAACACAAATGAGGCTGCGTTCAGCGGGCAGCCACAGCCAATCTATTGGGGATTACTCTTTCCCCTGACTCCATTGAAGCAGAAGCAGTTTAGCTGTTTTCAATGGAATGACTCGAGAAATAAGTAATGCCTGGCATTATCTTTTCAAAATTATATTTGCTGCAGTTTTAGCCTTGAATTTACAAACTAGAAGCAGGTAATAACAGTTACAACAACCACTGACCTCCAATATAAAGCACTGGAACCAACTTCCCACATAAAATAATATCCCAAAATGTGTCAGTTCTTCTGTTGTTTTCTGGCTTCATATTATTCTATTCCTAATTCTTGCTCTTATCTTTTCTTTTTTTTTTTTCCTCTTCATTTTTTACACTGAAACCATTCTAGCTTTGACTTCCCCACAATATTCAGAGAAACACAAGACTCAGAGGTTCCTTTCCATTCAATGAGAGACTCTGCACTGGTTCTTTACCTTAGGTGCTGCACCAGGTCGTCACAAACCTACAGGAGTGAGAGAGAGGAGTTTCATGTTTCTTACCATCCTTTGAGAAACATATCTTAAAACCATTTCATTGGTAAAGATTATTCCCCATTACTTTTAATGAGCTGAATGGTTAGCTTAAAAAAAAAAACAAAACAAAAAAACCCCTTAAACCAGCAAAACCAGACTGATGCTACAATAGTTAAAAGATAATATTAATATAATAATTAAAAGAACAACTGTGGAAAAGGGTAACATTGACAGGAATAGTCTGTTGTTAAATTCTTTCCAGAAAAAAAAAAAATTGCACCTTTGCCAGTTTTTCTTTTATTGGCATTTACTATGCCAAAATTCTCTGGATATTATTATCCTAATAATATCCTAATATTGTCCAGCCCTGTGCTGGTTAAACAGAACAACTTGAAATTCCTGGCCTGACTGCAATTGAAAAAAAAAAAAAAAGGAACTAAATTAACTCCAAATTACTGTAACAATTTGGATGATAAAAATCAGAGTTTATGCTTCCGGCAACAGCTTGTTGTTGTATCTTTAATCTGAAGGATTATCTGTAACATTGAATGACTGCAGAACATGGTATGTGAACTCGCAGAGTCATATTTTGCCATTATTTTAATAAGAAATCTTGCAAGAATAGCATCCCCATTCATAGGAATGCACATAGTTCTAAAAAATGCAAAAAGAACCCAAAATCTCTGGTAACAGCTCCAAGAAATCCGTTGGGAATATACACAGCACTACACCTTGGTAGGAAAATATTTTATTTACTGTTATTTACTGTATATGATAACATCAAATTGTGAGAATAGAAATATTATGCTGGGTACTACAAAATTCTTGGAAGATGGGCATGTCAGCTGAGTTTTAACTTAATATTTAGCTCTACAGTTAAGATACTTAATATCTGCAATCGAGTTAAGTGTAGGTGAGAGATTCAGATGCCTAAAGAAGCAGCAAGTGCCATGCACAGGCTGGCAGGTGTGACAAGACCAAAAGGAAGCCAAAGACTTTCTGACATGGCACCTGGAGGCCAGGTGAGAGGTGAGAGACAGAGAAAATTAACTTTACCACAGGTTCTTCTCCAAGGTGAGCCAACTTTACATCCATCACCTCTCCACCCTTGTCCAGCTGAACTTCTATATAAAACATGTTGGATGTTATGTAGCAGGCAGTCCCACTGGGGCTAGCGTGAGCATTAAGCCTGAGGAGAGATGAAAAAGAGAAAAAGAAAAAGAAAAAAAAAGCTTGTATATCTAAAAATTCTGTCACATGAAGAAAGGAAATGAGTATAGTTTACTTGGTCGTGGGAAGAGACACCAGGGATGCTTCAAAAATAACTCTTCCTTGGCTCAGCTTCTGAAAACTATCAAACCAGGCAATATATTTGTGCTCTGCTCTTTGCGTTATCATGTTGGTTTGCTGCAAACTTTTTACCTCAGTCTGGAGCTTTGTGACCTAGACATGTATGCCATATTTTTTCAGCCAGCAACCTCCTCCACAAGGGCTAATCAAAATAGGCATTTATGCCCATTCCAAATAATGCACTCCACTAGGACATCGAGTTACAAAAAATGAATATTGTTGACAAGCCATCCAGATGGTATTGCTCACTGGACTTGGGGCCATGCTTGCTTATTTGCATTTCTTCATAAACAAACTTACCCTTTTTGTTTGGATAAAGATTCCAATCTGTTCATCACAGAAAACAAAGATTTAGCTGTAAAAAAAAGGGAAATGTTATTTAATCAGGCTCCAATGATCAAGAAGTAGAACCACTATTATCCTGCTTTACAGGATTATTTTAGGTAATAAGAAAATAGTGTCTCTTGCATGACTTCTTGTTATTAATGACAACTATTACTCTATCATTAACCCCTGTGTTGCTGGGGAGAGCTTACTCTCAGGCTTTGAGAATAGCTATAGCCTGAAGGCTTAGCCCAAAGACTAGTCACAAGTTGCTTGTGTCATATCCACCTCTGTGTTTGTACATTTAACCCCTTTGTGTGCAACATCATCAATAGAGAAGGACGGGTAGTTTCCACAGAATATTAAAAATTACACTTTGAGTTATCTGACAGTTTGTTTACCATTTAATGCCCTCTGTATCTTCTCCATGCAAGAGAGCAATGGACCATCTGGAGCATTACTGACAGGCCGTTGGAGTGGTTTATCCTAGAACATTGGTGAAAACAAGAGACAGAGAAAGACTCCTTAAATCACTAGCCAAAGAGGAATACCCCTGCATATGAGACACAGAACACTGATGTCTGGTTCAACAAACCACTACTTATTTTTTGCCTAACAGAGGTGACCTATGACTGTAACTGTCTCTAAACTGGCAGCACTGAATGGATTTTTGAAGACCCTGTTGGGCAGTAATTATATATCAGAGGCCTTTGGAGCAGGATGCAGCTTTCCATTCTTGTTTCATTTGAGCTGAACACAAGCCATGTCAGCTAATTTCACCACAACGCTAGATATTGACTAAGAAAATACTTAGATTTTTATTTTAAGAGGAATATATTTAAGTGAAAAGGGGAGCTCAGTAAGTGCCACAGGTGTACTTCATTAGACAAGGGGCACAAGTTTCAGCTGAAAGTATTAACTTTAGTAACAAGCAAACTCTCCCAGCTTCTCTTCTAGCTCGTCTGAAAACTTCTTAAACGTCACACTTCAGTTCACAAAGAACCTTTACTGCTGAAAAGTTTGCACTATGTTTAAACTCAGGACATTGTTTTCAGTGGAAGGCTCTAGTTAAGCTTAATAAAAAGAATTATGGAAACAAATGGGGCTTCTTATACTAAACTCACAGCAGTTGTGCTAATCTCCTTTTTACAAAAATGATTCTTAAATATAATTAGCTACTGGAAGGGTGGGAAACATGAAACAACTTAAGGTATACCACAGCAGGAGAGAGTCTAGACAGCAGGTTTCAGGCCAGTTTCTGAAAAACAGTCTTTTCTCCCAGTCCTAAGGGCAAGAAATTGTCTTTACGTACTATGAATGTGCTAACGATAATGAATGGAAAATAACCTAAAGTATTAGACAATCAGTACTAACTCATGAAGAGTTAAAATAATGTAAGAAACAACCTCTAAAGTGTTAAAATAATGCAGGAAACTTTTTTTTTTAATCCATCGTTGGAAGGAAAAATAAAAAAGAGCCAAGCTATAATAGGCACCGGGTTTTTGCAGTTTTTGGGGTCAAGCAGTTTTTGAATTATCTTGGCAACCTGCTCTTACACCACATATCCTTCTCACCTAATCTGTGATTCTTACCATGCAAAAATGGACAAGTTTCAGAGTTTCACTCCATGGTTTTTGTTGGTATTTTAAATGCAACTGTTCCATTAAAGCATTTGTAGAAGTAGCTGTCACAGAACCTGAAAAACATGTCAAAATGTTCTAAATATAATGGCATGTATTTACATTGACAACCCGAAAAGTTGGAGGAGGAAAAGCATAAAAACTTGCTAAGGTCAGAGGTGTTATGCTTCAAAAGAAGAGGCAGAAAAAAATAATTTTAGTTGAATTTTACATACAAATATCTAATTTTTGCAATACTTCTGGTAGAAAAACAGTTGGGGGAGGTTTTGTATAGGCAAGTATTCTCAATATTAAATACAGAGGTGTAGCCCAATCTTCAGCTTGTTAAACAACTAGGCTTTGTTTACCTATGCACAATCTCATATGTGTATTCTTGATAAATGCCAAGGCCTTGCCATGGGTTTCAGGCATCCAGATTTCTACACCCACCTGGAGTTCATTAGAGTTAATTTGGATTAGAGATAAAAAATTTTAGGTTTTGTTTTTGTTTTACAACGGACACCCACCTGGAGTTCATTAGAGTTAATTTTGATTAGAGATAAAAAAATTGGAGATTTTTATTTTATTTTTTTTTACAACGGGGGCAGTGAAACACTGGAACAGGTTTTCCAGAGAGACGGTAGTTGCCCCATCCCTGGAAACCTTTAGGTTGCCCAGAGAGATGGTAGCTGCCCCATCCCTGAAAACCTTTAAGGTCAGGTTGGATGGGGCTCTGAGCAACCTGATCTAGTTGAAGGTGCTCCTGCAGGGGAAGCCAGAGTAGATTACCTTTAAAGGTCCTTTCCAACCCAAACTATTTTATGATTCTATGCAAAATTGCAGAGGGGTAATCTCAATGCAGAGTTGTGAGTTGTTTGGTTTTTTTCCTTATTGGAATGGCAAAGAAGCAGAATGCAGCCAGGAAAAGGAACATTTTCAGCCCATCATCACTCCCCTTATAAGTATTCTTCTGGCCTTGCACAGAATCCAGAGGCTCAAAGAATGTTTGTTTTTTGGTTTTTTTTTTGCTGAGACGTGGTGCATCTATAACCACTAATTTCATCAGGAATAAACCTGAAATGAACTTCCGAATACACCAGCCTGAGACAGGCAGAAAGACTCCAGACTGATTAATAAGACAAAACTGCGTCCCTGCAACACGCCACCTACTCTGCTCTGCTTCTGAGCACCAGCAGAAATGTTGCAAAGTGCTTCTTTGACTTAGAAGGTACAACAGCCACAGAGAATCATCCCCTTTAAGCTAGCAGCGCTGCAGAGGAGAGAGACAGACTAGGAGAGGGATTTCTATACCCTTTGCATACATCAAGCAGGGATGGTGAGTTGGGGCTGGCAGCATCTTCCTCCTGCTGGGAGGACAAGAGAGCAGAAGCCACAGTTCCCTATGAAGCCATCCCCCTCAAACAGCTGAAGAAAGGGGAACCAGTGGACCCCAACCAGCTCTTGCAAGCACCCCTACTGGGGAAAATGCTCCCACTTACCCATGCGTTGATGCCTACAGTAGGGCTGCAGCCCACCCTGTGCCTCCATCTCCATCCACACCACAAGAAACCAGGGCTACTACTTGTAGCACCTGCACCACAGCACCCACAGGTGCTGTGCAAGGCAGAAGGCTTGCCCCCTCACAAAACTGGTCCCCAGGGGTTAGTGTTTGAACCTGAGAAGCTTGATAAGCACAGCAACATCACCTCTCTGCTCTGCCAATTTTTCAAAGGGGTGAGTCACACCGTCAGCCATGCTCTTCTACTCTTAAGTCCTGAGGAGAAGGCACAATTTCTGTCCCTATCTTTTCAGACGGTGTAGCATTCTCAGAAAAAGACTGAATTTACTTGGGGTGGAAAGGCAGGGGGAGGTACGATAGCAATAATCACTCAGCCAAACTGGGAAGCAGTCCATAAGGGAGCTTTTAGTCTAGCTCAAGGCCATGGGACGTTCAAGGTTTCATCCTGGACCTTTGTATAGGCACTAATTTGAAACTTGGTCACCAGGGAATGCCAGATCTACAGCAAGAACAGCATGTCTCCCACATGAACCCTGTGTGGCAGTGCTTCAAGATGTCTAACAGCATACTTTCTCTTTTCAGCTGTCATCAGTCATGCTGCAGTGCCTGAAATAGTCTCATAACACGCATAGGAGATACCTTGGACTTGTACATAGGTACCTGAGTAGAAATTAAATAGTCCAGTGCCCTCAATAAGATTACAGAGAAAAATATATATCTGGACCTAGGAATCCCAGGAGAAGTATAAGTTATGTACTAAAAAGCGGTATTTGTCTCCAAACAGACATAGTACTTAGGGAAACTCAATGCAGCTGAAAGAGTTTAATATGTTAGCATTTCAGCTTTTACAAAGGAGGTGAAAGGTGATCAAGTAAATTGATGATGTAATTCCACATTTGTGGTAGATCACACTTCCCTAAAATTATTAGCTTGGCTTATGCTATTAACTATGTATTGATTTTTAAAACTGACATTAGAAGTGTCTATAGGTATAATCATGAGCTTTACCTGTGACTTGGTGCATCCATTTAAAAACATGTTTTCAGCATTTCTAGAGAGACATTCTAGCTTAGGGTTGCTTGAACAATGTATTGAAATGTTTCCTGCTGGGCAAGAACATGGACCATGGTCCATGCAAAGTAAGTACGTTGCTTCAGTTGAGATCACATGAACAAGTGCGTGTATATATAACATACCACAGCCTGGTAGTAGTTAATATTTTTGTGGTAATTTTCATAAATGTTTGGCCTGATCTGGAGCTCACTGGAGTCTCTGTGATCTTGATACCGACTCCAGTGGCTTAATCATGTCCTGAACAAGCAGAAAAGTAAATTATTTGCTGAGCCTCTTGAAAAGAAAACTTCCAAAATGAAGTGAAACATGCCACTGTTTACCACGTCTGTACAGTAGCTGTCCTGCAAATACACAGAGGACTTGAAATTTAAGTATCAGCCGTGCTGGACTGTGACTAAGCCTAAAATTCACTTTAATTTTTAAACACAAAATAACCTTTACCATTGTGCTCAAATGTGTGTATTTGGGTAGATGAATTTGCATCATTTTTCCAGGATAGGGATAGTGCTAGATTTTCATAACAACACAGATATTCCAAGACAAGTAGCAGCCTTCATACCCCCATAAAATTGTAACATTGGCTAAGATCATACATGAGAAACAGCATCTTAACCATTGTCAGAAAGCTCCTCGGGCCAAGGTGTTATTCCAGTATTCAGAACTGTCATCTCCAATTACCACACTCAAGAGAAGAGTTAAGAGTGTTGAATAATTAAAAATGTTCTAATTATAGCATCTCAGGCATATTAGGTACACAAATGTTTAACTGGGTCAGTTCATGAAAAAAAAAAAAGCACAACTGGCCAAGCATTACCATCAGTATAGAAGATAATAGGAATTACAGCATGAATCCTGCGTGCCCACCTGCTCTAGATTACTCTCTTGCGTGTTCAGCAAAAACTGCTGCTGAAAGAAACCTTGATGTTCACAGTTACAAAATAAGTTGTCCCCAGAGAAAATCTTTTCTTCCTCTCAAATAATTGGAGGTTCTATTATCCCCTTTTAAAGGGTTAAAACTGCTGCGCTTTTTTAGGGACCTTTTGGAGAAATCCATTATTATTACTACGTTGTTTATTTTTGTCACGGTGTTCCGCATCTTGCTAAATTCCTGACTCTGTAATCGGCTTCACAATGCATGCCCTGGGAGCACTGTGATTCATATGAAAATAGCATTTTGTAATTTCATAGTTCTTCCATTCCTGACGATTTTTCCATATCATTGAATGGTACTTTTTTTTTTTTTTCCGGAGGTAGGATCAATGTATTTTCCATTCATATTCTTACATGAATTCATGTAAACTATTTCTTTCAGTGAAGATACTCTAGACTTAATACAGAACAAGGGAAAACTTTGCATACTGTTGATACATTTTAATGATAGCAGTCTGGAAAAGATTCCAGGAATTCCATATTCAGTGCAACACTGGTGTATTTTTTTTATTTCTGGTTTCTTTTGGGGGGCTGGAGGTTGCTCTTTTCTATTAATCTTGCATCCAGTCTTGATTGTTTTCATCTAAAGAATAAAAACCAAAACTAATCACCAGCAATACCTTCACTGGCCTGCTTCCAGCAGTTTCTTGGAATTGCATCTTCCCAGAAGCTGAACTGTTGATCAGAGAGAACAGCAGCTCCATAACAGCCCACAGTAAGGCTAAATACACAACTGGGGCCTGGGATGGTCAGTGAAAACCGGTGGTTCCAGTTAAAACTGCAGGATGTGTAAGAGATGTCAGTGATTATCTGAATTGATACCTGGTCGGGAGATCAGAGGTAATACTGTGTTCTTCCACAAAGTGCCATGGGATTTTAGTGATCGGTAGTGATAGAGCCAGCCATGTAACTGGAAAGTGAATCAGTGTTTATTGCAAATGGTGAGCATTCAAACAATTCCTTTATCTATCCTAGATGCTCTTCTATCTAAGATAGGCTAAACCCAGCGCTGCTTAGCTTCTATGAACCATAGCTTAGACTGATAGGGTCTATATTTTTGTAGCTTTACAGCCCATAAATACTGCAATATGTTTCGTCGTCTTTCCTTCACTCTCTGCATCATCTCCACAGTTATGGAGTGTAAATGTTTTGTTCCTGAGAGTAACATCAGAATGTTGGTGTCTGCATTTTCACTTCAGCCATGCAGACTGAACAAGTTTTACTTCAGGACTTACTGAATAGGACCTCTGGCACTGCAGTCTGAAGGACTTAACACTGGCAGGCTTTGACTGTTTCCTGCTCCTTCACTGAAAGTGCGCAAGATCCTTCAAAGCCAAAGACTGTATAGGCAGACAGAAAAAAAAATAGCTTCGTAGCACATGTAGAAATGCATTGACACTGACAAGGCATATCTTTCTCTCGGAGCATAGTCAAGATATGGCTAATATTTGATTTCTGCTTGACATTAGCCTTATAATCCCCAAGTAGTTCTTGTCTAAGTCTTTTCACAAAGGTACTAGAGACATGTGACCATGATTTAAATAACCTCATGAACGAACATGGGAGGTCTGGCTTCATATGTGCACTTTTTCCCTTGACAAGATTTCATAGGACACCATAACTGGTGTTCATAACTGAACATTTGTTGCTTAGCCCACATCTCTCATTTTTCTAAGGCTCTTCTAATCATTTTATAACTAATATCAAGTGTTGCACCATCATTCATATGCTTTACTGACATCAGTCAGCTGAAATCAATGGGACCCATCCCTTAAGAGCTATAACAGCTCTCCTACAAGATAAAGTGAACACAGGTAGCATATAATCTGCAGAATATGGCACAATTAGTAATAACCACAATATGTTGAAAGTCCACATTGAAGATGTTACTGTTCGAAGGGGAGGAAGAATGGGAGCTAAGAGTTAGCTGAGGAACTGAAAATCATGATGAGCATTGAGGAGGTAACTGAGGTAGAGAAGAGGTGAAACAGAGGAGGAGAATAATTGTGCTTACTAATATCAAGTGTTGCACCATCATTCATATTCTTTACTGACATCAGTCAGCTGACATCAATGGGACCCACCCTTAAGAGCTGCAACAGCTCTCCTTCAAGATAGAGATAAAGTGAACACAGGTAGCATATAATCTGCAGAATATGGCACAATTAGTAATAACCACAATATGTTGAAAGTCCACATTGAAGATGTTACTGTTCGAAGGGGAGGAAGAATGGGAGCTAAGAGTTAGCTGAGGAACTGAAAATCATGATGAGCATTGAGGAGGTAACTGAGGTAGAGAAGAGGTGAAACAGAGGAGGAGAATAATTGTGCTTAAAGGATCTTTCCACCAGTATGTCTCAAACTCAACCACACAGGAGGCCAGCTTAATTATCTTGTTTTTCCAAATTGGGAAACAGAGAGATGGGGAGAGGAAGTGACTCCTGAAGTGGGCCACAGCCATAGAATTAGAAACCAAGGTGCAGTTTACCTGACTCCACGATAGCACATCCCCATCAGAAGTAAGAGGGAAACCTTCAAAGAAAGGAGGAGATAGGGAAAGAGATTAGAGAGACACAAGAGGAAAGGTTATAAAAAGACACATAAAAATAATGAAGTAAATAAGAAACCATACAAAGTATGAAAACAAGGAGCAAGAGCAAAGGAAGGATATGGAAAGCAGAAAAGATATAAAAAGGATATAGAAAAAATATTTTTATAATATATTTTTGTGTTATTTTCATGACAGAAAAGTGAAATGACTTTAGGTCTACTTTGAGCTATTTTAAACCAATATTGGTTTTGAGATTATTGTTCGGCTTAAGTGTTCTGACTGAATACATATCAGGATATGGGTTATATAACATGCAGACTAAAAAAAGAAACAGCACTCAGTGTCAAATACTGATTTCAGTAAAATAGTATGTGGGAAGGATGTATTTTTCAGGAAAGACAATACCCTAAAGGAGCTCAATCCTAACAC